GTTGTTGTTGTTGTTGTTGTTGTTGTTGTTAACTCTTGCATTGGGTGCTTTTACTCTGTAGATGGTTGAGGCTACAATCCTAACCCCCACCCTGCACACAGGACTTTGCAGAGCTATCACTAGATCTGCAGCCCAGCTGCTTACAGAGGGCACAGTAGAAGTGGGGGAGCAGGGTGATTGGTCCTGGTTCCTGGTTCCAGACTGGCTGGCACAGCAATCAGGACACAGTCCTGCAAGACCAACTCAGGAGCCAATGCTCAGTCCTCAGCATGTCCCATTTTTAGGTTTTCTTCTGGGCATCTCTTGTGGGGATACCTCTAGAGGGCCTTCAGCCTGCCCATCCAAGATGGGAAGGAAAGTTGGCACTGACACAGTTAAACCACTCCATTGGGAAATTGGCTCAGCTATTGGAACTGAGCAGATGGACACCCTCATTTAATGGGGGGGGGGGAATCATGGGAAAAATGGTGTTGGATTGCTTTGCTTCTGTCTTAATTCATCCCAGTCTTATCCCCAGATGGCCTTTTCTGGGGCAAAAGATAATTGGGAGATGATACCTGTTAAACCAAGCTATTTAAAAAAGATTAGGAGAAGGATAAGGAGCAGTAGTACGCAGAGGGATTTCCTTTATAGTATACACTCTATATTAAATGTTTCCACGTACTACTTTGTAAATAAGAGGCAATTTTTTTTTAGCTCCCAGGGCCATATCAATGATTGCTTTGCCAGTATAGTCATCCGATGATGAAGAAAAATGTTGGCTCTATCAACACTTTTTCCCGTTACTTATTTACTTCATGATTCATTTCTCTGGTAGAAAGATAAAGTGATGAGCAGCCACTGAGGTCAGGAATAGTCTGTTGCTTGTAATTGCTCCTCAGCCAAGAGAGAATAGAAATTAGGAGGAAAAAGTGCATCCCAGGCCCAGTCCATCTTGTGATCAGATACCTCCTCTGACTGAAATCATTATTTATCTTAACTAGACACATGGCAGACTCTGTATGTGCTTTCGAATATCACAGATAACAGATAACTCGGCTCAGGCATGGAAGAACTTGCTCCAGTAAAAGCTTGATAAATTGGAATAACTATACATTGTTAATGGTGGGTGGTGTCCCATTTGGGTAAATGGGGTACTGTCCAAACAACCTACGCCTGCCTGCCTTACTTACAGCCTATCCAAGTGGCGGCACTGCCTATCAGTGTCTTCCTCCTTCACCTCATTGTTGCCCCTTTTAGGGCTCAGCAGGGAAGTGGTTGGCTCAGCCTGTCATTGGCTCTGGCTCCACCTACTGTTGGCCTCCCTGCCTTCCACCATTCTGGTCCCAATGGGCACCAGTCACCACTGATAGCCAATGTACATAGCAGTGAAAATGCTCTATAATCAACAGTTTTCTGTCTCCTTTTCCCACTCCGTTTTAATGAGGGATGTGGCCTTTGGAGTGAGGGGGAGTACCAAACACATTCAGGAAAACAAACTCTGAAGTTAGTTTCTAATTTTGAAAAATATTACTTCTTCGCCCAACGTGTTTTTTCTTTCCTTTTTAAAACAGGTCAGGTTATACCACCCACCACCATAACAAAACAAAACAAATCTTAGCAGGCATGCTTAACTTTCTGCTAAAACAAGCTGAGATATTGAAATGTTGAAGCAAAATTTACAGTCCCAAACATCCTGAACGTCTCTACCCCCATAGTTCAGCCGGACACTGAGGTCCAGCGCCGAGGGCCTTCTGGCGGTTCCCTCACTGCGAAAAGTGAGGTTACAGGGAACCAGGCAGAGGGCCTTCTCGGTAGTGGTGCCTGCCCTGTGGAACGCCCTCCCACCAGATGTCAAGGAAATAAACAACTATCTGACTTTTAGAAGGCATCTGAAGGCAGCCCTGTTTAGGGAAGTTTTTAATGTGTGACGTTTTATCGTGTTTTTAATATTCTGTTGGGAGCCGCCCAGAGTGGCTGCGGAATAATAAATGGTGGTGGTGCTTTTGGAAGTCAATTGGATTTTCCTTTAAGTGAATATTTAGCAAAATTGGGCAACCCTAGAATGGCAGGACTACCAGAAAACAAAAACCATTTAGAGCAACTTCAGTGGCACAAGATCAAGATAGACTTCATTGGATTACACATATGAAATATTGTCTGTCAACATAAAGGGACACTGTCAACAGGATGGATTCACCTGCCCCCTGCAGCCCACCATGAGCTCCAAAACCTACTCCAGAGGGTTTGGGGAACCCTCTGGAAAAGATTTAGAGGCAGACTGGGGTGCAGGGGGAGTTCCATTGTGCAAGCAGAAGTTCACCCATATGACATTGGATATATAGACTGTGATTGTATATAATAATAAAGCATATCCTCATTATTGGTTTCCCTAATTCCACAATGGAGACCTGCATCCAGAGAGGGTTACTTACAGTGTGTTCTGTTTTACTACTTTTACTAGTTTTACTAGTTTACTAGAGCTCTGGCCCCCTCCGAATCCCTTCCCCATGGCTCCTGTCTCACAGTATTTAGGCAAGGAGGTTAACATAAATTAAACATTTCTGTGATTATATAGTTATGAGAAATTTGCAAAATCTAGCTGAAAGCCAAACCCTAACCACTTTTACGTAGGCTGCAATTCTGTAACCCTTTGCCTAGGATCTAGCCCTATTCAAGGCAATGGGACTCCATTCTGAACAGGCACATAGAGGATTGCATCATTACACTGCTTTTCAAAATTGATACACATCTTTCAAAATGAAACATTGGATTTAAAGTATTCAAGGGCCTTAAAAAAAAAATGAGAGCAAGAAAAAGAGTATATTATATTCCCTTCGCACTGCTGGCAGATGTTAAATTAGAAGAAATTGCATCCTAAAAAGCTAGGAACAGGATATAACACTTGCGAGGAAAATAAAATATTTTATTTATGTTTTACAAGGAACTTACTCAACTAAGCAATCCTCTCTCACCCATCTTTTTGACGAGTGAGCGTGGCAGTATGGTACCACACTTGACCAGCCCATTAGATGCTGCTGTATTATTTATATTTTAAATTGATTTAAGATTACATTAATTATAAATGTGGGGTTGGAGAGCCAAGAACTCAGCCTACAGCAATCTCTTGTATAGTTCTTCCCGGATTGTTCTGAGGAAGAGCAGCATAGAGCATCCTACAAGTTAGCACATGGATAAACCATGGAATTCTCCACCACAAGATGCAGTGGTTGCCACTATCCTGGATGGCTTTAAAGTGGGCTTAAGACAAATTCATGGAGGAGAAGGCTAGCAATGGCTACTAGCCATGATGGTGATGAGGGCCGTATGCTTTGAATACTGGTTGCTAGGAGACGAGAGGGAGAAGGCTACGGCCCTCATGTTCTGCATGTGGGCTTCACATAAGGGACATCTGCTTAGCTGCTGTGGGAAACAGGATGCAGGACTAGACAGGCTTTCTTTGATCCAGTAAGAGTCTTACGTTCTTAACCAGATTCAAATTTGCCCATTAATACAGGAATGACTTTGGCAGAACAACTTCACATATTTAGGCATCTGACATCAATGCTATTTAGAGCAGTATATCTTGTTAAGCATGTTGGGAACTGTCACTCTGTGAGGGGTAAGCAATAGTTACCAGGATCCTTGCCGGGCATGTGCTTTTAATTGGATTTAAATGTATGGTGTAGATGTGGACTTAGAATCAAGGGCTTATATTTGCCAGCTGGGGTTTTTTGGTTTTTTTATTCCAGCTCTCTGCTGTCCTTTAGTAGCCCCAGGTCATATCACAAATGGGACAGGGAAGTAAGCACTCTGGAGATAGAAATGTCAGATATTTACCCCCGGTCCCAACCTCAGGATAAGCACCACCACCATTTTCACTCTGCACAGAACACCCAAGAAGGTAACAAGCAATGTGAGGAAATGTTTCATTTATATGTCCAGGCCAATGGGGATATTTCCCCCCAATTCCAACAGAGCTGTGTGGCAACCATGATTTGAGAATTGCAACCATAAAAGCATCTTGGAAATGTTTGGAACAAGTGATGTTATATCCCAGCCATGATGCTCAATTATTATGGAGAACAACCATTCCCTCCCATAATGCACTGCACAGCAGACAATGTGCCTAAGGTACCAGTAGTGCCAGTTTAAAGTAAAATGAAACCTTCCTTATTATTGCTCAGATCATTGGTCCATCTAACGAAATCCACTCCGCACTGCGGCAGTTCTCTAGGTGAAATTCTCAAGCAGAGACCTTTCACAGCCCTGTTACTGGATATCCTTTCAGTTTCCAAGAAAGTAAATAGAAACAATTCACACTTCTCCCTCTCCCTCTCTCCCCACCATTTCATCAAACTAAAACAATTGTAAAAGGCTGTGATAACTGCTTTAGGCTAACAACACATAACTGTACACTGTTACCAGACTGTTCATACTCACATGTTCCCTTTTAATACAGTTGACATTATCTTTCCTCCCTTTCCCATTATTCATAAGTGACAGGTGAACAATATAAAATGTCCAACAGCTCAGGAATATATATCCTTCAGTTATAGATTGGGTCTGATGATTTAGTGCTAGCAAACATATCTGTGGAAACTAAATAGATGTGCTAATCTAAAGAGATTTAGGTGGCAGAAGGAGCTATCAATATGTCAAGGGCTTGAAGTTTCTTCCTTTCATATTCTGCCACTGAGATTTTGTTTTCCTTTTCTTCCCCTCCCCCTACTTCAGGTACACAAAGCGTCTTTTATCTAGAGCTGAAGGGGGTTTCCTACAAACAGTGAAGTTAAATTCTCTCTTATTCTGAGGTTTACAAGCAAACATCTTATGGCTGCCACACAACTGTGCATTATCTTCTCTAGAAAATTCTTCAGATCCCAGGCCAGAGTAGTGAAACCCCTCAGTATTTCCAGTAAATATTTCTCCATCACTGATCTGTAAAAGACCCATGAGAGAAATTAGCTCTTGCAGTCTTTCCCTGGGTTTGATTAAAGCACAAGCATTCTGAGTGTAGACCAGAATTTCCTAAACTTGGGTCTCCAGCTGTTTTGGGACTATAACTCCCATCACCCCTAGCTAGCAAGACCAGTGGTCAAGGATAATAAGAATTGTAGTCCAAAAACAGCTGGAGATCAAAGTTCAGGAAACACTGGTGTAGGCCATCAAGGAGAGGATTTGTAGAGGCATTCAACATATAAACTAATAAGTAATAATATGCATGTTTAACTCAATGTTCACAGATTTGGATATGCTCACATACTCAGTCACAACCTATGCATGTTGTATGTGCATGTGGGGGTGTGGTTCTGTGTACCTCTGTGCAGAACTTACAATCAATGAAAATTACCATCTCCAGTGCTTGGAGGTTGGGGGTTGACCAGCAGATATGGTCCTCCCCCCCACCCTGTGTGTGTGTCTGTGTGTGTGGACACTGAACCATCCTCATAGGCTCTTCACACTTTCTCACTCTGTCTTTCCCTTCTGTCATTTCCCCATCATTATGCCTATGACAAGGTACTTCATATTTCAAAAGAATTTTGCAGTGAAAGACAACTCGCTTTCGCCAAAAGTGAAAGACACAAAGGCTAATTGTATGTTCCAGCTCCATGTTTGAGATTTCTTTCCACTGAACACAATGAGGCTGGGGAGAGGGGGTGAAAGAGCTGACCATGTGTTCAAACCCTGCACATGCCACTGATTTCATGGACTGGCCGGGTTCCAATCTTAACTCAATCAGTAGAACTACAGGGCAGCCTTGGGCAAGTTCCCAACTCATTCTCTACAGTCATAGAAAGGGATATGTAATGGATAGTGTTTTATAAAAAAGAACAGGGTGCAACAGTGTAAATATTTTGGACCCAAAGCTGAAAACTTGCACCTAGCAATAACTCGGGTGCTATAGCTCAGTAGTAGAGCATCTCCTTTGCATGCAGAAGGATGCAGGTTCAATCCCCAGCATCTCCTGGTAGAGCTGGGAATCTTCTTCTTTTTCTTTGGTGATAATTCATAGCCGAGTAAGATTGTCTTCCATGAACACGGTCTTAATAGTGAGTCCATAAGTGACTGTGGAGGCCAATTCTGGATCCACACGTCCTTCCACAATGGGGACATAAGTTTCCAGACAGGACTTAATTACAGTGAGGGTTTGCCAAACGTGCCTTCCTCTTAGCACATTTCTCCCTTTCATCCTGAGTTCGAGCGTTTTCAAAGCCCATTACACCTTTGGTAAAGGCTGTTCTCCAACTGGAGCGCTCGCAGGCCAGTGTTTCCCAGTTGTTGGTGTTTATACTACATATTTTTAGATTTGCCTCAAGAGAGTCTTTAAACCTCTTTTGTTGACCACCAGCATTACGCTTTCCATTTTTAAGTTTGAAATAGAGTAGTTGCTTTGGCAGACGATAATCAAGCATCTGAACAACATGACCAGTCCAACAAAGTTGATGTTGAAGAATCATTGCTTCAACACTGGTGGTCTTTGCTTCTTCTAGTACACTGGCATTAGTTCACCTGTCGTCCCAAGTGATGTGTAAAAATTTTTGGAGGCATCATTGAAAGAGCTGGTAATATCCCCCGTCTGAAATCCTTGAGAGAGTCACTGCCAGTCAATGTAGACAATACTAAGCTAGGTGGAGCAACTGAATCAGCACACGACAGCTTCCTATATTGCTTATTAATGCACATTATGAAATTCAAGATGAATGATTACCTCAAAAGTACCAAAATGCAATAAAGCAGCAAACCAAAGCAACAGACCTGAAATATTCAGTAGTTAGCATCTGGAAACTTTATGTAGAAAGTGAAAAAGAGAAATAGCTGTACTGCTATTCATTGATATAAAAATCACTATTCTGGAGCACTATGATCCTCCAAAGTTCATTGTTGATCCTAGAGAGATTTAATGCAAAATTAAATTTTCATGTAAATTATTTTTCAATACTTTGCAAAGGTGGCTAGATTGAAGCAATAGTATCTGTAAAATAATTTGATAGTTATTCACCTGTGATAACAATGGATGCCCTGTGCAGTTAATTTTCAGTTTGGTTGCTTTGTAAAGTTCTACTCTCTGATGGCATGTAAAATGTTTTTGATTAGGAAGTAAATGATATTTACTTCATTATTAACTTCCTCACAGAAATGGCTAGAGTATTTGATTTTGTGCCTGGCTGTTAAATTATTGTGGCAGTTTTGCAAGGCCACATTAAAAATATGACATAGCATAAATCTCTTTCCACATGAGGCTTTTCTCTATACCGCAGTATTACCAGCAGCACATTATGTTCTAGTCAAATTTGTGCTTTTTTATCAATATAAAACAGAGGAAACACAACAGCAGCACCCTTTCCATAACCCCTTTCCAATTATGTATGCAATGATTTTCAAGTGTCTAACCAATATGAAAAATAAGATGTTAGGAGCAGTGGTGTGAGGCATATCAGTAGCCCTCTGGTTCAAATGAATACTTCTTAAACTGCAGTCACCCTAACTAGACAAGAGGAAGTCTGGGAGTGTGTGTGGAGAAGAAACAAGAAAGTTGAGTGCAGTCCCAGACTGTAGTCAGAGGGCAGAAAGTCTCCACCCCAGCTTACAAGATGACCATGTGGGGATGGGAGAGGAAGGTATCTCATTCACCAGACATGAGAACCAGGACGAAGTATATACAGCTGCCCATCTTAAAGAGACAGTAACAGTACATTATGTAGACTACTCAATGTCTGGTCCATGATGAGATGACTTCTCCATCTATAGAAGGTCCCCTGGGTCAGCAGGTAGTAAACAGATGCACACAACCAGGGCCATCCCAATACATTGTGCTGCCTGAAGCAAAGGACAGGATGTCCCATTGCAGATGCCATGTGCAAAAGCTGACCAGACTGTAAGTTGTATTATATTAATTATATTACATATATACAAAGACATAGCTGATACAACCTAGCAGTAAACCAGGGGGAGGGAGAATCTCAGGCCAGTGTCTGAATGCGGTCCCTATGAAATCCATATCTGGTCCCTTAGAACACTCTCCAGGCCACCTCCCTGGGCCCTGAGGGGAGAAACTGCAGTTCCCAGTATTCTTTGTGGAAGTGAGTGCTTCTATGTGCATTTGATGTGCTTTATATGTGTGGTGTGGATCTGCCGCTGCTCAGCCACAGATTCCTGGGAGTGCTTGTTCAGTCATGATATCACAGGCTATGTTACCTCACGGTGTTATTGTAAGGATGAAAGGTAAGAGGAAGGCATATGGACCTGGGTGGGGAACCTGTGGTCCTCCAGTTGGTGCTAGACTACAGATCTCATTATCCTTGAATACTGGTTGTGTTGACTGGTGCTGATGGGAATTGGGAGTCATACAAAATCTGCTGGGCTACAGGTTCTCCACTCCTGAGGTAGGATAACCTGAGCTGCTTAGAGGAAGGGTAAGATGACAATGTAATAAATAAATAGTAAGGTTTTTTAAAAGACATGAAAAGTTAGAAGACGGCAGCAATTGAATTTAACCAAGCTCTCTCTATTTATTTATTTTTAAAAAGCCAGGAAAAACTCATCATGAAAAGATCACATTGTCTGAAAGTGTGGTAACTCTGAGGGAAGTGAGCTGAGGGAATGAGGGACAGCAGAGACAGTGGTCTCTTTGTGATATGAGGTTTAGTTACACATATATACAACCTGAGTCTATGATGGAGGGGTTTACTGCATTGACACCCCAAGAGTGTCTTGTTTTGTAGCCTTATTGGAGTTCACCAACTGGGTCTGCGTTGCTCCGGGATAGGAGGAAGGAAGTTAAAATGACACCGAGGTTGGTTCAAAGAAAGAGTTTATTCTGCTCTCCGGATAGCAGAAGGCACTTGCGTGATTAATGCCCAGCAAGTCCAAAGAAATGACAAGTTTCATGCAGTATATATATCCTCCAGACACCCTCTCCCTCCTTCCAACCACGTCAGTTTATGTACGCAGGTTGACATCACATATGTTCTTGCTCTGGTATTCTTAACCATAAAAGGGTGTTCCTTCCTGTACTTCTGACCATAAAAGGATCTTCCTCTTCCTACTCTTATCTGGGAGGAAGAGGTAATCATCTCCAGGAACACGTTCTGGCATTTGTTCCCGGACTTGAGTTTGTGTGTCAGAGTGTGTTCAGGACGTAAGATAAAGCACAGACATGTCTTCTCTCTGTTCTGTTCTACTACTGGTACAGTGAAGGCCATAGTTGCTGTCACAACTGATAAAGGAGAGGGCTCTGAGCACTTGTCTATACAGCCGGGCTTTTGTTTATGCACTGAGCTCAGAGCTCAAGTTAATGGATTTTAGCTAAAGAAAAAATAGGGATTTTGGTGCAGTTTCAAACTGCCTGCACAGTCAGTTTTGGGTTTTGGAAACCCATTCCGTCAGTTTCTCCCATAGTTGCAGCTGTGGATTCCAAACAGACATCATCCATGGCTCTGACCCTCTCTTCAGCTTGCTGCTTTTTCCAGATTACAACCTTTTCCCTCCAGGTCACATCCAGCCAAATCTAAAACTCTGGCTTTGTCTTCTCACTATCTCCAAGCTAGAGGAGGAGCCCCACCCAGTTGGAATCTGGCACAAAGCCCCCTCTCTTTGGTTTTCTTAATGGCTCTTCAACCTTCCTTTGCTTTTTTTAATGACTAATCTCCCAGGTAATCTCTTCCTGAAGAAGCTGGCCTGGCTTATATTTTAATGCTTGCTGAATTTAGGGGTTCGGGAAGTTTGATTAAATTCTAACACTTTACTGGATCGAGAAATTTAGGGGAGTCTGGCACCCACAAACTCATAACAGAGCCACCCACAGGCACCAACAAATTCTTGCAGTATCACGATTTGCCCAACAAAGTCTCTGATCTACAACTGGCCAGTTTCTAGCCATGTTAAAAGCGTACCAGTTCTGATATGATCAGATACTGAATTTGAATAGCTTCAGGCTACACACACAAAATTTTGAAACTCATTTCAGAAAATGTTGATTTATTTAAATAAATACAAAAGGCTGGGCCATGCTTGCAAATATCATTAGGGGTCCAAAATTATGTGTATACATTTTTTGCTTTCTATCATTTAAGTACGGGTTTCACTAGAGTTGTTTCTTCATCAGTTCCATTTTCTTTCTCAGCCCACCTGCCTGGTTTTCTGTAAATATATATAGAAAAGGTGCTTCAGTGCTAGAAGTGACAAAACTACAAGAGAATATGGGATGGATGAAACAGAAGGCTGCCTGTTTGCAACGTTCCTCCATAACTTCTCTTTTGATTCTTCCACCAAAACCCCTAGAGGCAAAATTAGGGGAGGTCTGCAGGATATCACTGGAAATATATGTATATTTTACAGAAATGAATTCTTCAATGAAATAAGGATGTGACTAATTGATGAATGGAACAGCATGAATCTGCTGAAACAGCTTCTACATTTCTCCTAGCAAAGGGGGTTATACATATGGTCTAATTAATCAGCGAGGAACACCAAGAAATTACTTAATAAGGACCTGTGGGAATATCACCCTCAAGGTGGATGGATAAAGAAAGATTTGCCCAGTCACAGGATTCCTGGCATTGCCTTTCTCTTGCCCTTCTTCTAAATTGACCTTGGCCACCAATGAGCGGGTACTTAAAAGCTAATTCCTATGGAAAATGCTGCATTTTATCATGACATGCAACCAATTGAGGTGGGGTAATATATCTGGAATCATTTAACCATGCATGCCTTTGTCACAGGTCTTAATGTAACTGATGTAGAGTAATGGAATGGGCTGGTGATGAAATAGCTCGTGGACATCCACAGGCATAGCATTCCTTAAACCAGGGATGGGGAACCTCAGACCTGGGGACCAAATTCAGCCCTTAAGACCCTCAGGCCACACCTTTCCCCAGCAACACTCCCTCTCTCTGGGCCAAACCATACTCCATGAGTGCTTATATAATATAATAATAATTTATTATTTATACCCCACCCATCTG